CATACAATCAAAATAATAATTCAGTACAATTAGATTATCACCACATATTGTCTTGGTTGGGGTTTCTATTGTTGTGAAGAGACACCATGACCATGGGGAACTCTTAGAAAGGAAAATATTTCATTGGGGCTAGCTCACAGTTTGAAAGTTCTAGTCCATTATCCTCATGGCGGGATGATACGGTGTTGGAGAAGGAGCTGAGATGTCTACACCCTGATCCGAGGACAGATGAAGCAAATGTGCCACACTGAGGGTAGCTTGAGTGAAGGAGACCTCAAAGCCCACTTCCACAGTGACACACTTCCTCCAACAAGGCCACACCTCCTAAATAGCGCTACTCCCTTCGGGGCCATTTTCTTTCAAACCACCACAAATATTAACCAGGTACTTCACACTTGGCAGTCTCTCATGAGAATATCATTGGATTGATGTACAAATATTTATGAATAAAGGTTGTAACATTATTTTAAACTCACAGAAACAGAAAGGGTGAAGGTGTCCAACAATGGAAGACTAGCTTAAGTGTTACTTCATAGACACACCATCAGAGACATTATACAGCTATTGAAATTACTCTTTCTAAAATCTGTTAATAACATGGAGAAATATTCAAAATATCAGAAGATAACCCAGACATGTTGGCACATGCTTTTAATCCCAGCACTCAGGAAGCAGAGGCAGGCGGGTCTCGGTGAGTTTGAGGCCAGCCTGGTCTACAAACAGAGTTCCAAGACAGCCAGGGTGGTTACATAGAGAAACCCTGTCTCAAACAACAACAACAACAACAACAAAAGTACCAAAAGATAATGCACAGGGAAGCTTGTCTGAATTCCAGTGCCTAACAGAAAAAAATGTTTTCACGAATGTTAAGTTTTTTAGTGGAATAAACATGTATGTATTTGTTTACATATAAGCCTATAAAATAATTAGTAGGGAAGAAAAAATAATCTAAGACAAACAGGCCAAGTGTCTAACATTGACAAGAGGGTTATGGTAAAGTATTGTCTTTTTATATTTTAGATATCATATAGATAAGCTGTATCATCATGAGTTACTTTTATTGTTTACTTTTGCTTAGACCAAAACTCATGTGCTCACCTCTGACCTTCCTCCTTTTCCCATAACCCACATCTAATCCACTAGCAGAGATGTCCACTATCTACCTTCAATCCTGATGCTATCCACTCACTCTTTACTCTTCACCTTTGCTGATCCAACGTTCCAAAGTCGGTCCCCTGAATTCTGTCGCAGCCTTACTTTGTGTCTTTCTATCTACCTGCCTGAAGAACCGGAGGGAGGGCATGTGGAATTGTGGGGAATAAAATACCCACTTAGAAAGCAAGACATCAAAATCGAAGAGGGACCATCTCTGATGGGGAAGTTGGAGCCCATGATTAAACATACTTCTAAGGAAGTCTGCCACACGTCTGAAGTGGCTTTCCTAGTCTGTGTTCAAGTAGCATATCATCAGCTCATGTTAACCAACAAACCGTATAGTAAAAACCTCTTCTCCATGGTAACGTTGAGTTGGGGAAGTGGTGTTTCGGCCTGCCCTGTGGTTAGGTCCATCCTGATAGTACACAGGGAAAAGTGGGAAACAAGATGGCACGTGAAGAGCAGGAAATGACCAACCTGAGTCCTCGGAAAGCTAAGGTAGGACTCTGAATGCAGCAGAGTCTTGAGTCACAGTATTTCAATATGAAGTGCTATGTTTATATCACCCCCCCATGCCCACTAAGGCTCAAGGAATATTCTGGAAGAGGCGGGCGTGGAAATATTATAAGACTCAGAAGCTGTGGAGGACTGGTGGGGAACAGGATCTTCTAGGCACGACTGGGCCACTGCACTCATGAACAAGACCTACACAAGATCCAGCCAGCCCATGTGCCAGCATGGGGGAGACGAGGCTTTACTTGACTCTACTTCCAGCTGAGAAGCTACTGGCAATTAATGGCTGCTGAGGGAGAGAGGGTAGGTTTCTTCAGGCATGTTGCCTTTAGTAGGATGCCCGTGGCCGGGTGGATAGCCCTGTACCATGCACACATGGGTAGCACCAATTGGACCCAGTGGGCTGTTTAAGAAGGAAGATTAGGAGGAGGAGGAGGAGGAGGAGGAGGAGGAGGAGGAGGAGGAGGAGGAGGAGGAGGAGCAGAAGAAGGAGGAGAAAGAAGAGATGAAGTCAGGAGCGGGCATGGTTGGGGAGGGCCCAGGAGAAGTTGGAGGAAGAAGTGCAGTATGGATATGCTCAAACTATATTGCATATATGTATGACATTTCCAAAGAACACATTTTAAAATTTTAAACGTAAAAAAAAAAAATGTGTTATTAGTCCAGATACTTAAATATCGTATTAAATATTTTTTTAGAAGTAGTTAAGGGGGAGGACCTGAAAGTCTAGAGAACCTAAGGACAGTCACTCAAGAGTGTGTTTACATTCATTTAGTGATCTACTGTCAAGGAAAAGGTTGAACGCTGCCAATGTCAGTTTCTTTTCAGTGCTAGGGACTGAGCCAGAGGCTCACATATGCGAGGCAAGGGTTTCCTCACTGATCCCCAGCCCCAGAACACCTCACTGTCTTCTAATTGCCGTCAGGTGATGATCGCATGAGCAGGCATGTCGTCTCACTCCTTGTCCTCTGCGTGTAACGTAGCACCTTCCAGAAAACAGGTGCTGAAGATCACTTACGAGGTAAGTGGGCAGGGAGCGAGGGAGAGAGTTTTCAATGGTCAGAAGGAGGGCCAGCGCTTCCCCGAGGATGGCCAGCGCTTCCCGGGGCTATGCCGTCCCCAATCTAAGTGCTCTCCTGTGTTGACTCACCTGCCTGCCATCAGACCCGGAGTCCCCTAGCTTCTGCTCCCCGCTGTGTCTGCCCTGTCTGTCTCACAGTTACATGGTGTGAAGAGGCTCCCTAATGAAGCTGGTCAGAGGACAGATGTTCCTAACGTCTAAAGATTATGTTCATCCGACCTTGCTCTTACGTCAACTGTCCAGATGCCTGGCTAATGAGAAGGCGTAGGGGGCACCAGGGGCTAGAAACTCCAGGAAGGCATCTCTTTTTATTCCGTTACTTGAACAACCAGGATGACAGGCTGAGTCCAAGCAAAGTCATTACCTCGTGAATTCAGGCCTTGCCACAAGCGGCTCACCTCAGCGGCTTCTTCATTCTCTGATAATTAACGTGGCATAGGTCTACGGAGTTTTCTCAAATGTCTTTGAGAACATTCTCTTTCATTTAGTCATCCCAACACATATTTATTGAGAACCTACTATGTGCCAGGCACCTTTGCCAAATGTCCCGGCCGGTAGTATTCCAAACAAAGCCACTGTTCTCACGGAAGTCCTGTTGCTTTGCAGTCAGGGCAGAAGGGTATTCCGTATTTCACAGCACAAGAAATGAGGTCTCAGAGAGACCAAGGGCTCTGTTTGACCACAGCCTCGAGAACGGCCCAAACAGAGGGCTAAAGCGTTTAGGTTCTGATCCTTGCTACTATAAAGATTATATCTTAATGGAGTGTTCTGATGAACTACTTTATGGTATTTTAGTTCCTTCTCTGCCTACAAACTACTTGTTAATGTGTCACAAACACTGGGGAGGTTCTGGAACCCTCCATCCCCGGTGGCATTGTGCTAGGAAGATCCAGTCCAGGGAGAGAGGCGGACCCGTCAGGAATGGGACCGGCATCCTTGAGTTCTTTCTCTCCCTCCAGTCTCTTAGGAAATCTTATCCAAAATCCAGCCCTGCCCTCGACCAGCATTGCTACCCCCTGGTTTAAACTGCAGGCGCTCTCATCTACATTGCCAAAGAGTCTGGCCTGGTCTGCCCTTCCTTCCCACCGGCCACTCAGTCAGCGGATCCTTTTCTTCATATGTAGTCTGGATCCGGCCATTTCTCCTCCTGACACCTCTCAAGGCCCCCTCTTCACTGGAGGGCGCCATATCTGTCTGTACGGCGGTCTGTAAGGCCTCACACCGCCTAGCATCCATCTCACTCACCTCAGCATCCACCATTCTCCACTTGGTGCTCATGTTTCTAGTAAGAGTATTGTGCTCGGTGTCCCTCACATCCAAAGGATTTTTCTACCTCACAGCCTCCACCTCTCTCTTTTCTACCTCCCAATTTCCATCCAGGACGTCTCCATCTCCTCGAAGCCTTTGTGCGAGGGCTGCCTTCCTTTACCAAGGCCCTTGAACTTGCCACTGGATGCTTCTCAGCCCCCTCCACTTGCTCTACATTTTTCCCACCACATTTATCACCCTTAAAAAATGATCATTATGTCTATTATCTTTACTTCTCCACAAATGCAGGAATTTTTCTTCTTTTAAATATTTATACGTTCCCAGAAGTTAGAGTGTTACGCCTGCTGTTGCTAGATATCAACCATTAAATACACGCTGTCATCACGCCTGTCATTATCAATCATTGGAGAATGTCAAGGGAGAGAAATGGTGAGGCCCTTGAAGACAGAGTTTCCCACATCATCATTTAAAGAAAGGCCACGGACTTTCAGAGTCAAAGATGACTAAGATTTGAACCCCGGGTCCGCCATGTACTTGAAACCTTGGGCAAATT